TTACCGTGAACAGGCACGCACCTGATTTCTTATGACAGGCTGTACAATAGTTATGGTGCGTATGCCCACACCTGAATATGTCTCAAATTCCCGGTCCCGATCACCTCGCTTGGCAGGCCAACACGGGTTCTCCATTGGAACATATAAATACCCCTCAAGGGCCACCTCAGAAAGGTAATTGAAACCAACCCTAAGTTCTTTTTATCTCCGCTCTAAAGGTAGTCCCGATTATTGCTGACTTAAGCATCGGAGTGTTTACCTCGAGTTTCACCTCGGGGCTTTGCAAGTACTTCCGAAGTGAAGATGCGGACTGAAGAAGGATCTCTGGTTTGGTGCAATTACAGATCCTGAAATTATATATAGGTTAAAGGTTTTTCTAAAATTTTACAAGTTAAAGACAATAATTAACTTCTTTAAGAAGAAAAAGAACAACTTTCTCTTTTCCATCCAAGCATCATTACCAGTTATTGAAAAAAAAAATTATAAATAAATAAATTATTAATCTAATCAAATCAAAATACCATAAAAATTTAGGTTGGCTATAACCACATCCTTCTCTTTCTACTGCTGACATAATGAATGGGAGTCATCGAGCCACACCCTTTTTTTTTCTACGGCTGACATAGTGTGTTAGAAAAATATAAGATAAACAAACGGAAGGAAAAAGAAAGAAAGACACTACGAGCGAGGGATAATGTCATTACTCTTAGGCCATCATAATTTTCGAGATATTAAAATGCTTAAAGACAAAATTTAAGAATTAAACTCTCTTGCGAGGAATTGGAAAAAGAGTAAAATTTCTTATCTTTGTGCAATTGGCAAAAGGTGCAGATCACCCCCTAAACTCAACAACTGGTGGCAAATCACCCCATCAACCCATTTCATGCGCAAATCAACCCCTCAACTCACCTGCAGTGGCAAATCACCCCCTCTCTTAACCCTTCCGTTAACATTTAACAGTCTGCTCATCAGCACCTCTTGTGTCTGGTGTGGCCTTCTTTTTGCTAAGATAGATGCTGAGGTGGAGGCACAGCTGGACAGATACCTCAAAATCAGCAGATTACACAAATTACTTCTATTGCTGAGATGGATGCTGAGGTGTAGACATTGCATATTATTTTTAAAATACTACAATAGCCAATTGAACTAAGGATTTTTCTACAATTATATATTATTTTAATTGATTAATTATTAAAATTAAAGTTAAATTTTATTTTTTTATGTAATTTAATTATAAAAAAATATACTAATTATT